AGGAAATTAAATTAATATAGAAAACAGTAAGATCTCTGGAGAGTCCCAAATATGTGGAAAATAACATAAAATATGTCTCATGTGTTAAAGAAGAAATAAAAAGAGAAATTAAAGTATATTTGAACTGAATAAAAATGAAAACACGAAAGATCTTAATTGTGAGATGCCTCTAATGCAGTAATAAATGCTTATATTAGAAAAGAAGGAAGGTCTCAAGTCTTTGACCACAACTTATATCTTAGGAAAACAGAAAAAGAAAAGTAAATAAAACTCAAGCAGAAAGAAGGAAATATTGAAAATTAGACGAGAAATTGGTGAAGTAGAAAACAGACAAACAATAAAGTCAGTGAAATCAAAGGTGAATCTTTAAGAAGATTAATAAGATAGATAAAATTCTAGCCAGACTGATCAGGGAAAAAACAGAGGGAAAACACAAAAGACCAATATCAGGATGTAAGTGATAACATCACTATAGATTCTAACAATATTAAAAAAAATGATAATATGGCAATATAATAAATAATTTTAGGCCAACAAATTCTACAACTTAGATGAAAAGGATGAATTCCTTGAAAGCCCAAATATTCAAAAGCCATTCAAGAAAAATAAATAAATAAAAGGAAATAAACATAGCTCTATATTTATTTAAAAAAAAAAAAAGGTATAGTTAAAAATCCTTCCCACAAAGAAGAATTCAGTCCTAGTTGTCTTCACTGCTGAATTCCACCAAACTTTTAAGGAATAATTAATATCAACTCTACACAACTCTTCTAGAAATATAAAGAGGAGGGAATATTTTCTAACTCATTTTATGAGGCCAGAATTACTCTGATACAAAAAACAAATAAAGAAACATGAATAGAAAGCTATAGACCAATATTTGACACAAATGCAAGTATTTTAAACACAATTTTAGCATAATCAAAAAAACTAAACTTGTTGCCATCAAGTCAATTCTGACTCATAGTGACCCTAAAGGACAGAGTAGAACTGCCCCATAGAGTTTCCAAGGAGCACCTGGTGGATATGAATGCCAACCTTTTGGTTAGCAGCTGTAGCTCTTAACCACTACGCCAAGTAATATATAAAAGGAGTCCCTGAGTGGTCAAATGCATAAGCATTGGGCTGGTATCCAAAAGGCTGGTAGTTTGAATCCACCCTGAAGTGTCTAGAAATAAAGGCCTGACAATCTACTTCTAAAAAATCAGCCATTGCTACTCTGACACACATGAGGTCAACATGAGTCATAACTGACCAGACAGCAACTGGTTAATACATAAAAAGAACAATACATCAGAAACTACTGTAGTTTATCCCAGAAATGCAAGGTTGGTTAAATATTTAGGAATTAATCCATTCAAAACACTATATTCACAGACTAAAAAATATACATATATTTTATAAGCATCTTAATAGATGCAGAAAAGCATTTGAAAAATATTCATCATCTGTTCCTGATGAAAATCCTCACAAACTCAGAACAGAAGGGACTGTTTTAAACTTGATAAAGAACCTCTGTGAAAAACCTATAGCTACCATCATACTTTACCTGAAAAACTGAATGCTTTCCTTCTAATATTAGGAATAAAACAAGGATATCCACTCTAATCATTTTTATTTAACATTGTATTGGAGATTGTAGCTAGTAAAATAATGTAGTAAATGAATTAATAAATGATTTAATGAATGAAAGAATAAATAAATGGCATTCAGTTTGGAAACAAAAAAGGAAAGCTCTTGATTCATAGATGACATGTAAAATATTTGAAAAAAACATTCAGAAAAGCTACCAGAACTAAAAAACGAGTTTAACAAGCTTTCCAGATACAAGGTCAATACAAAAATTTAATTATATTTCTATGTATTATAAAAAAGGTATCAAAAATTGAAATAAAATACCAAATCAGACAGATGAAAGACCTGTCAACTGAAAACTACCAAATATTGTTGAAAGAAATTAAAGATTTAAGTAAATAGAGGTAAATCATTTCATGAATTGGAAGACTTACTATTGTTTAAAAAAAAAAAGCAAACACATTGCCATCCAGACAATTCTAACTCATTGTGACCCTATGTACAACAGAACAAAAAAAACACTGCCTAGTCCTGCACCATCCTCACAATCCTCGCTATGTTTGAGCCCATTGTTGCAGCCACTGTGTCAATCCATCTCATTGACGTTTTCCTCTTTTTCACTGACCCTCTACTTTACCAAGCATGATGTCCTTCTCCAGGGACTGATCCTTACTGATAACATGTCTAAAGTATATGAGACAAAAGTCTTGCCATCCTTGCTTCTAAGGAGCATTCTGGTTGTACTTTTTCCAAGACAGATTTGTCTGTTCTTTTAGGAGTCTGTAATATATTCAATATTCTTCACCAACACCATCATTTAAAGGTGTCGATTCTTCCTTGGTCTTCCTTATTCATTGTCCAGCTTTTACATGCATATGAGGTGAATGAAAACACCATGACTTGGGTCAGGTGTACCTTAGTAATAAAAATGGCAACTTTGCTTTTTAATACTTCAAAGAGCTCTTTTGCAGCAGATTTGTCCAATGCAATGCATTTTTTGATTTCTTGACTGCTGCTTCCATGAGTGTTGATTGTGGATCCAAGTGAAATGAAATCCTTGATAACTTCAATCTTTTCTCCATTTTTCATGTGTTGCTTATTGGTCCAGTTGCGAGAATTTTTATTTTCTTTATGTTGAGGCGTAATCCATAGTGAAATTTGTGATCTTTGATCTTCATCAGTAAGTCCTTCAAGTCCTCTTCACTTTCAGCAAGGAAGGTTGTATCATCTGCATAATGTAGGTTGTTAATGACTCTTCCTCCAATCTTGATGCCACGTTGTTCTTCATATAGTTCATCTTCTCAGATTATTTGCTCGGCATACAGATTGAATAAGTATGGTGAAAGGATACAACCTGACTTGCACCTTTCCTGACTTTGAACCACGAATTATCCCCTTGTTCTGTTCAAACAGCTGCCTCTTGATCTATGTACAGGTTTCTCACAAGCAAAATTAAGTGTTCTGGAATTCCTATTCTTTGCAATGTTATCCATAATTTGCTATGATCCACATAGTTGAAGGCCTTTGCATAGGCAATAAAACACAGGTAAACATCTTTCTGGTACTCTCTGATTTCAGCTAGGATACATCTGACATCAGCAATGATGTCCCTCATTCCACCTCCTCTTCTGAATCTGGCTTTAATTTCTGGCAGTTCCCTATTGATGCACTGCTGCAATCGCTTTTGAATTATCTTCAACAAAATTTTACTTGTGGGAGATATTAATGACATTGTTCAATTATTTCCACATTTGGTTAGATCACCTTTCTTTGGAATAGGCACATGTATGGATCTCTTCCAGTTGATTGGCCAGGTAACTGTCTTCCAAATTTCTTGGCATAGATGAGTGAGCACTTCCAGCGCTGTATCTGTTTGTTGAAACATCTCAGTTGGTATTCCAGCAACTCCTGCAGACTTGTTTTTCACCAATGTCTTCAGTGAAGCTTGGACTTCCTCCTTCATCACCATCAGTTCTTGATCATATGCTACCTTCTGAAATGTTTGAATGTTGACCACTTCTTTTTGGTCCAGTGAGTCTGTGTGACTCTATGTATCCTTCCATCTTCTTTTGATGCTTCCTGCATCACTTAGTAGTTAGCCTATAGAATCCTTCACTTTTGCAACTTGAGGCTTGAATTTTTCTTTGGTTCTTTCAGAATACATATGGATGGCAAATAAGCCAAGAAAAGATGCTTTACATCATTGCTCATTAGGGAAATGCAAATTATAATCACAAAAGGATTCAACTATATGCTGTTTGGAATGTGTAAAATTAAATAAATTGATCATAATAAAGACTGCTGAGGATTTGGAGGAACTGGAACTCTCATACACCTCTGGCAGGAATGTAAAATTTCACAATCATCTGGCAGTCTCTTAAAATTTAAATATACTCCTACCATACGAAACCACTATTTCACCTCTAGATGTTTACCTAAGATCAATGAAAGCTTATTCTGTTCAAAAAAAGCCCTGGTTTCACAGTGGTTAAGTACTTGGCTGCTAACCAAAAGGTTGGAGGTTTGAACCCACCAGCTGGTCTGCAGGAGAAAGATATTGTTTCCATAAAGATTTACATCCTTGGAAACCCTATAGGGCATTCTACTCTGTCCTATAGGGTCGCTATGAATGGAATCAACTCAACAGCAAAGGGTAAGGCTTGTACATGAATATTCATAGCAGCTTTATTTGTAATACTAAACAAATAAAAAACAGCAGCAAAATAAAATCAAAAGCCCAGTGAAAACAACTAAAATGTTCATCAGCAGAACAATGGATAAAAATAATTATGGCATATCCATACAATGAAATACAACTCTACAGAGAGCAAAAAGAGAGAAAATATGAATTATTGATATACACAACTACATGGACAGATCTGTGAATAATTATGCTGAGTATATATAGTATGATGCTCGTCACATAAAATTTGAGAAAATGCAAACCAATCTGTTGTGACAGAAAACACATCAAGGAAGGAGGGGGAAGATGGGATTACAACAAAGCATCAGGAGAAAACTTTTGCCTGTGGTGGATATCTTCATTATCTTAGTGAATTTTTCCAGGGTATATACAGATGTTGGAGCCCTGGTGGCGCAGTTGTTAAGAGCTATGGCTGCTAACCAAAAGGCCGGCAGTTCAAATCCACCAGCCAGTCATTGGAAACGCTATGGGGCAGTTCTACTGTGTTCTATAGAGTCGCTATGAGTCGGAATTGACTGGATGGCAATGGGTGGTATATAGATGTTAAAACTTATCAAAGTGTGCTTTCAATACGTACAGTTTGGTAGATGTCAATTATATCTCAATAGAGCTGTTCAAAATATTTAAGAAGATATATATTTGTTTGTAGGGAGATTGTGCTTCTGTCCCCCTCCTACAAATCCCACACATTACAGTGGCAAAGTTCACAAAACCTACCTGGTCAAGAAACAGAAGATTGAGATTCTGGGGCAGCAGGTGATGCTGCAACAGGTGTGGCTCCGGCAGGCTCATTGATCACAGGCTCAGCTACTGCAGGATTGCTTGCAGCAGGCTCACTGATCACAGGCTCAGCTACTGCAGGATTGCCTGCAGCAGGCTCATTGATCACTGGCTCGGCTACTGCAGGATTGCCTGCAGCAGGCTCATTGATCACGGGCTCAGCTACTGCAGGATTGCCTGCAGCAGGCTCAACTGAAGGAGGCTGGGCAGCAGATGCTGCAGATGCTTCAGGATTACTTGAGGGAGGGACAGAGGAGGAAGGCCCAGCAGGTGGAGGGGGAGGAGGGATAAACCAAGTAGCTGGGGGAAAATTAGGGTTGGGATAGAAAGCAGGGACCCTAGGAGCAGTGAGAACCCAGGGAAAAGGAGGTGCCAGTTCTCTGGGGTTAGGAAATTCAAGGTAGATGGGGACATTGTTCTGTGGGGGATAGTAAGAAGAAGGGATATAATTGACTGGTGGGCGATAGGGACTATTCAGAGAAGGATTAAGTGGGTAAAAATGATTGCCATTGTAATCCTAAAGGAGAAGAAAAGAAGTCAATTAAAGCTGATTGTTTATATTTAGTCTACTTATATATTACTCATGTTATTACTGTGATTACACACAATAAGTGATGATAATATTTTTTTAATTCCAGTTTAGTCCTGTTCGAAGGCTAATGTGCTTCCATACTTTTTGAAACTAATAATTTCTTAAGAAAATTGAATAAACCCCAAATTAGAGGGAAATATTTTATGTTTAGGTAAATAGCATGTTGGAGTCTGCAGAATATGCCAGCCTAGGCCACGGCAAATATGGAAGAAAAGAGAGTGCACAGTACAGGATCGATGCTTCCAAGACTTCTCCTGGGCAGCACCCTTCCCCCATTGCCCTCAGTGTCCTCAGGGTCTCTAAAGTGCCCCCAGTAAAGCATATACTTAGTTATTTCTCTTCCAAGTGTCCCAAGTTCCAGATTTGTCCTTCTGAACTGCTCCCCACACTTCATCAAATCTTCCACTCCTTCAAGGCCATACATCTTAAATTATTATTAAGAGGGAAAGCAGAGTGGAGGTGGATGACTGACTACTGGCTTTCGTATTTGGTTTTCTTTGTGATATTTGTGGTTTAAATGAGTAGCTTATTAAAGTAACGGTTGCATTTACTATCAACTTTCAAATGATGTCTTTTAATAGAAGGACCCCCAAATTTTCCTCCAATTGTTCCAGGTTTGGCCCTTACATGTATGTAAGACTGTAAGGGAGCTTCAAGGTCATAATTTACAGAAAATTCATATTTCTTAGTCTTACATACATGAATAGTTTTATCTCCTATCATAAATTTGTTGGTTTTCATTTGCAGGCCATTTATGGTTTATATCTCAGGACGCTAGATTATTTGATTTGTTGCATAGTTCAATTATAATTAAAGGAATTTTAAATTTCAATAATATAAATATCATCTTAAAATATTATAAGTTATATTTAATATTTCCAGAGTCCCTGGGTAGTGCAAATGGTTAGAATGCTCAACTGCTAACTGAAAGGCTGGAAGTTCAATTCCACCCAGAGATGCCTCAGAAGAAAGTGCTGGCTATCTACTTCCAAAAGATCACGGTCATTGAAAACCCTGTGGAGCACAGTTCTACTCTTACACATATACGGTTGCCATGGGTTGGAATCAACTCCATGACGACTGGTTTGGTTTGGTTTTGGTAGTGCAAACTTAATGTGCTTGGTTGCTAGCTGATAGGTTGGAGATCCCAGTCTACCCAGAGGAGCCTAGGAAGAAAGACCTGATGATCTACTTCTGAAAAATTAGCCATTGAGAACCCTGTGGAGCACAGTTCTACTCTGATACACATGGGGTCATCACGCGTCAGAATCACTGATAGTAACTTTTAAAATTATTACTATGTTCACCAGTTAACTGGCGAATGGAGTTGTTTTCTTTACACGTGTTCCAAGTTAATTTATCAATAAACAAGAAAAACCAAACCCACTGCCATCGAGTTGATTCCAACTCAGTGACACTATAGGACAGAGTAGAACTGCCCCACAGGGCTTCCAAGGAGCAGCTGGTGGATTTGAACTGCTGACCTTTTGATTAGCAGCCAAATGCTTACCCACTGCACCACCACGGTTCCCTATTAATAATAGACGCCATTTATAAACATAGACCCACTTTTTGCATTTATTAGGAAAGATTGCCTTCTTAATCAATACTTTTCCATGATGTAGCACTTCGTTTATAAGATTAAATTTTATTTTAAACTGCTTAATCTAACATGTAGGCAAGATATCAGTCTGGGCAAGACTGGGAAAGATATCAGTATTAATGAAAAAACTAAAGAATTTATAAATATAAATATCCTTTGCTTATACATGCATATTTAAATGGACTTATCACAGCAAGAGGACATGTTCCTCAATTATTTTCCTAGCTTTTCAAAGAAACACATAATAATATTGAATTATTTTATGTTATTGGAGAAATACTATTTTAAATAGAAAACCAATAATGTGAAAGTAGATTTCAACATCTTAAAATATAAGTATAAAGAAAAATGAATATATTTTACCTCTTCACTGGATGAGAAAAGTTTCTAAAACAATAAAGAAAAACAATATTGCTTTTAGATTTTACATCACTGAAAAACATCTGTATCTCTGTTTACATCTAGTGTGAATAGAACTAAAAAAATTCTGAGTAACTTGGAATTTTCTTTCTTAAACAATGTAGTTATTTTCCTTGTTCTCAGGTTTTATGTGACTATGTTTTAATTCATAAAAATTTTATCACAGCATGAAGGGAAAATCTGGCATACCAAAAACTTTATTACACTATAAGGAAAGTGCACTTAATTAATGCTTCTACTCATTGAAAAGGAATAAAGATTTTATAAAAATATTTAACACAAATATAATTATATTCCATAAGTAATTTTCT